GGTTTGTTACCTAAGCTATGCTAACTTGAAGGATTTTTTTATGTGGTAGTGTTTTATTTGCTCCCATAAGGATTTATAGCCTTAAAGACTCTGTAGAGTAGTGATAAGTCAGAAGAATAGCAGTGGCTTATGTACATAGAGCAAATAACTATTACTTCTAAACAGTCTTAAGACACCTGGCAAGATGCCAAGGGTGCATAGAACGTAAAGTTTAAGTGTGTACACTGAGTAAGCAGAGATCTCTGGTGGCCGTGCTTGATGTGCTTTTCTGTTAACTGAAAGGTCAGCAGTTTGAAACCAACAATCTCTTCCGTGGGAGAAAGGTTCAGTAATTGATTACAGCCTTGGAAGGCCCTATAAGTGCAGTCTCCCCTCCCCTATAGGGTTGTTATGAGTTGGAACCTACTCAAAGGCAACAGATTTTTTTTAAAAACCTATTAATCAATGAGAAAAAATGTCTCATGGATATCTTCCCCAGAAGGGCAATGATTACCTACACCAATGACAACCACTATTGGCTGACTCTAACCCCCCTTTGTACTTTCCATTTCCTCAGCACAACCATTAAACATTTTCTCAAGCTGTTCCAGGTAAAGTTAAGTCACAGATGATGAAGCCTAAGTATAACCGAGTATTATTCAGTTGTAAGTTTTAGGGAAAGGTCAGTTATAATTGGACCGATATATGATTCCAGTCCAGTTTCTAAGAGACCAATGATGTGGAAAAAGTGAGCTCACGGACTATAAGCAAAAGATTTTAAACATTATCAATCAATTACTGGGGTCCTAATTCCGACAGAGCCATCTCAACCATGAAAAATATCCACAGGCCTAGGTAGAGCCTGAGGAAATTAGAAGAGTTGTAAGGGCCTAACATCAGGGAAATTTTCTACAATCTACTGTGGAAACGAAGGAAAGATTACAGAGGTCCAATGAGGTCTGTCTGGTAGTGTAATCAAGGGTGCTATGGAGATGGGTGGGTGGCTTAGATCTCCTTTCTACAAAACAGGGATTCCAGAGAAGCCACATCCCTATTGGTGAAATCTTTTGATGTACATTTTCAGGAAGTCCCAGACATCTAGTTTGTCTTCTACTGTTTATGTCCTTTCAGTTATGTTTGACACTGCATTTATGCTGGGAATTAGGGACCCTAAGCTTGTCCCTATTTTTT